GCCAGTTCACATGCAGGATTATAAATCAAGGTGAACAAGCAAGACAGTGATCTCAACCTAACAAGGGCAAGCATGCAGGTGCAGGTATATATAGATCACAGTACAAGCAAAGTCAAGAGGTGAGTAAGTGAGGCCCTGCAGGCACAAGACCTAGCATAGTACAGAAACGCTGATGATCACAAGGCTGAAGTTCCTTGGTGAAGATATCAGCAGTGTTGGCCCGAGAGGCCACGTAAGCAAGACGAAGCTGGCCACGCTGCTGCAACTCTCGAGCAAGGAAGTAGCGCAAAGCAATGTGCTTCGTTCGGTGCTCCAGTCGGTGCTCCCGACACAAGGCCAGCATGGCCTTGTTGTCGACGTACAGAACTGGAGGAGAACGAGGCGCCTCTCCCAAGTCGGTCAGCAGGTAGGTGAGCCAGCGTAACTCTTGTGCAGCCATGGCCCCAGCGTAGATCTCAGCCTCACAACTGGAGCTGAGAACAGAGGACAAGCGGGTAGACCGCCACGAAACAGAGCCGGAACCAAGGCTGAAGGTGTAACCCTGTGACGACCACTGCGTAGCCAAGTCGTCAACCCAAGAAGCGTCTGCGTGACCAGTAAGGACAACTCGAGCCCGTCCTCCAAGCACGAGCCCCATGCCTGATGTACTGCACAGGTAGCGCAACACCCTCTCAGCTGCAGCCATGTGCTTTGGTCGGTGTCTCCCAGTAGCAACATAGCGCGCCAAGATGCTAAGAGGGTATGCCAAGTCAGGTCGAGTGCAGGTCATCAGGTACATGAGGCAGCCAACAAGCTCTTGGTACAGGCCACTCGGCTCTACGGAATCATTCGAAGGCAGAGCTGAGAGCGAATGGCGAGTAGACAGAGGAGTGGCCTGAGGCGAGGAGTAAGTGAAGTCAAAGCGCTGAAGGACCTGCTGCACCATGTGTGACTGAGTTAAGGTAATGGTGCGTCGTGCTCTGTCCCGGGTGATCTGCAAGCCAAGATAGCTGCGCAGCTCACCCAGGTCTGTGCACGTGTGTCTCTTCTGCAGCTCCGACTTCACGTGGGCGAGTCCCTCAGTGTCAGCAGTGGCAAAGACCAAGTCGTCGACGTACACGAGGATGTAGAACGGCGGCAGCGAAGAGTCGGTGCGCAGAAACAACGACGGGTTGGCAGTAGAAGGAGCAAACCCAAGAGCCGCAAGCGTAGTCCTCAGTGTGTCGTGCCACTCACGGGGCGCCTGGCGGAGACCGTAGACTGGCCGCCGGAGGCTCCACTGGGTACCAGGAGGAAACGACCCAGTGAAGCCAGGTGGTCGGCGCAGCCAGATCTCCTCGTGCAGGCTGCCCTGTAGGAAAGCAGTGCTGAAGTCAAGAGAGTGAAGCATGTAGTCACGCTGAGCAGCGACGTGCAACAGAACCCGAAGAGTGGTCATCTTCGGGGTCGAGGAGACGGTCTGGAAGAAGTCAACTCCCTGTCGCTGACTGAAGCCTCGAGCAACGTAACGCGCCTTGAAGACAGGCGGAGAACCCGGCGGCCGCTTCACCCTGAAAATCCACATGCCACAGACGATGTTCGCCCCAGGAGGGGGAACCTCGTCGACGTAGGTGCCTGTGGACTTCCAGGATGCCATCTCTGCGTCCATGGCTGACTGCCACTGAGAGGAGTAGGGACCCGTAATCGCCTCTGCGTAAGAGCGCGGGGTCGGGATGTCTGGTGCATCCGGGTCTCCCTCAGGTGCAATCAGCATGGACACGAGATGAGGTACAGCGGCTGCAAAGCACTCAAAGTCCTCCTGCCTGTCCTCAAGGACGTCCGTGCCAAGAGCACACTCACCCCTGACGGACGGAGGACAGACAAACTCAGACTCAGCAACAAGACTCGCGGCGTAGCCTGGACGACAGTGAGCAGCAAAGTCGACAAGCTCAGCAACTAAGGCAGACGCAGCAGTGGACTCAAAGGAAGGGTCAGTGACAACAGTGGCCAGGAGATGCATGACAGTAGGACTGGCAGCACGAAGGGAGTCAGACTCCAGGTCAGCAAGGGCAGAAAGAGAGGACGCAGGAGGAGACGGCAGAGGGACACGCTGCGGAGCAGTGGACGGACGCAGAGCCATCTGGTGCATGCCAGGGACAGGAGGAGGACGCTGACGCGAACCACGACGACTAGTGCGAGCAGCACGAACAGGCGACGCAGGACGAGACTCAGGCTCACGACGCTCCGTAAGACCTCCGGTCGGACCAGTGTAAGGAGAAGGAGCAGGCAGTGGGGAGGCGGGCTGTAACTGTGACTGCGACTGGACAGGCGGTGGACACTCTAGGGAAGGAGCAGGACCAGTAGAAGGCGGGAGACCAAGAACCTGCTGAAGGAGCGGAACGAAGTACGGCCGCGGCCGCGCAGCGCCTCCAGAACCAACAGGGACAGCACCAGCACCCCCAGCGTCAGCTCCAACTCCAGCAGCACCACCAGCTCCAGCAGCACCTCCAGCAGCTCCAGTAGCGCCAACTCTAGCACCCCCAGGAGCACCGGCTCCAGCAGCACCTCCAGCGCTAGCACCTCCAGCAGCTCCAGCTCCAGCAGGACCACCAGAAGGCCCAGCAGCCCCCAGTGCCTCTAGAAGCGCCTGCTCCAGCAGCACCGCCAGCTCCAGTACCTCCAGCAACTCCAGCCCCAGCAGCACCACCAGGCCCAGCAGCTCCAGTACGTCCAGTACGAGCACCTCCGGGACCAGTTTCTGTACCAGCAGAAATATTGCAGCAGGGTGCAGCAGAGGTTTGGCAACGGCTACACGAAGGCGATTTCTACACCATTGAGTGGGGTAGCTGAAAACGACGGTGAACGAGAGGAAGATGTCAACCAATGGGGTAGCAAGGAGAGGGCTCTACAGGTATACCAGTCCATGGTGGGGTCCATAATGTATCCGGTCTCATGCACGCGTGTCGATATGGCATACGCAGCTAGCTATCTTGGGCAACAAGTGCAGCAGCAAGGGGAGAGAAAATGGAGAGAGATGAGGAGGACTATCGACTACCTACTGCAACATGAAGATGAGGGACTGTTATTCGAAGGAGGTGAAGAGACCTTGGAGTTAGTGGGGTATGCGGATGCTTCACACGCATCCGACAAGAAAACAAGGAAGGGAGCATACGGTTACGTGTTTCTGCTCGGCGGGACAGCAATCATGTGGCAAGCGAAAAAGTTGGCTGACATATCGCTCTCTAGTGCGGAAGCGGAGTACATGGCTCTGTTTTACGCATGCCAAGAGGGGGTTTGGCTGAGAAGGCTACTCAAGGAGATGGAAATAAAGGTGGAAGGACCTACGGTGATTCGCTCGGACAGCAAATCTGCAATCGATTTGGCTCATAACGACAATTGGCACGGCAGGACCAAGCATATGGACGTGAAGTATCATTGGGTGCGTTCAAAGGTGAGTAGCAAAGAGTTTGAGTTTGAATTCGTGCGTACGGAGGCACAGACGGCAGATTTTCTGACTAAGGTGTTACCAAGGGCTAATTTTGAGCGTTGCAAGAGAGAGGTTGGGATACGTACCTTGGCTGAATTGCAGGGGAGTGTGGTGCAGGCCTAGAGGTGGTTCAAGGTGAAACGTACGAGGGAGCGTGCATAAGCTGGTGGTTAGCAAACCACAGGGGAGATTGTTGAAGGTGGTTGGCTAACCATGACCTAGAATGACCTAACGCGATCTACATCGACCTAAGAAGAATTCGGTTTGACGAGCTGTGACTAAGGGAAAGCGAGGACCTAAGAAGAAGAGGAGCTACCTATGTTGGGACGGTGGAAGGAGAAACACGGTAGCGGCGCGACCTGCAGTGGGAATCGAAGAGAAGGAGGGGAAGTGTGCAGAAATGGAGAAGAAAACAGCTGAAATGTCGAGATTCCAAGCGACGTGAAGAGAAGTCACGCCGGGTCAAAGGCGCGTCCAAGGAAGTCTGATTCGAACTCGAGGCGCGTTCGGTGCATGGTTGGATTTGGAAATTGAGCCGAGTACAACTCAGCTCGAAATTAGGCGCGGCGCGAGGGCGAAATCAGAAATCCTTTTGCTTATAACTTGCTTTGTGTTTTCTGTTTTTGCATGCCTTCTTCAATGAAATTACTTGAACTTTCTGCCTTGGCGTTTTCCAGCAAATTCCTTCACACAGTTGGGGCCAGAGCTTCATATGCTTGTTACTAAGACTCTAAATAGTCTTCATAGTCTAGACTAAAGGCTGCGCACGTACAAGAAATACGAGTGACTCATTCTGCGCCGTGATGGCCCATGGTTTTTCCCTCTGACGCGCACGTCGCCCATGCTTCACATCCCCACGCCTCACGAAACTGAAGCGATCATCCACCCTCCGACCATGCCTCACGTCCCCACGCCGCATGAAACAGAAGCGCGAAGCGCCTGACACTCACTCCCTCCCCTTGCCTCCCCTTACCCCTTCCCCCGGTACCCTCGTCCCCTGCGCGAATCTGCGTGTCGGCATGGCGTGGCGGCAGGTGCCTTGGAAGCGGTAGACACCGCCGGCGGCGCCATCACGGCGGAGAGCGCGCCGAGTTTTGCTGAGCCTAGCGCGGGGGACGAGCAGGGTCGCCGCGAACTGTATATCATTAACCGTAGGATTGATCAAGCCAAGCCCCCACATGTTTTTGTTCCTGCGGTTATTTTTGGTTTTCGCTTTCTATTGTTTCTTGATGTTACTGTACAAAAGGAGCTGGTGACTCCGTGCTGCCCATAATGCCGGGAAGCATTGAGAGAGGATGACCGGCAGTTGGCTGTGAGGGACCGATAACGCAGGGTGCGCCCTAAAGCAGCTAATATTCGAAAGGAATCTCGGCCGCCCATTTGCTCCTGCCTCCCTTGATGTCGCATTCTCAGGCGGCCGTCCCCAAAGTGAAGAAGTTGACTCAGCAGTCTCCCCTTTCCTGTCACCCTTTCGCAGCATTGAGATGCTATGCAGCGAGGGAGAGGGATTGCTCAAAGGCGAGGGTTCAAATCTGGACCCTGACCTTCAACGAAAATGCATGCGAGAATGACCGTGCGAAAATGCTTCAGGAATGCGAGAAGAGGGGCTTCTGGTGAGTGCGAGATGCCTGTTGGTGCCTGGGCTGTGCTTGTTGGTGCCTGGGATGTGCTTGTTGGTGCCTGGGCTGTGCTTGTTGGTGCCTGGGCTGTGCTTGTTGGTGCCTGGGCTATGCTTGTTGGTGCCTGGGCTATGCTTGTTGGTGCCTGGGCTATGCTTGTTGGTGCCTGGGCTGTGCTTGTTGGTGCCTGGGCTATGCTTGTTGGTGCCTGGGCTATGCTTGTTGGAGCCTGGGCTATGCTCGTTAGTGCTTCGGCTATGCTTGTTGGTGCCTGGGCTGTGCTTGTTGGTGCCTGGGCTGTGCTTGTTGGTGCCTGGGCTATGCTTGTTGGTGCCTGGGCTGTGCTTGTTGGTGCCTGGGCTGTGCTTGTTGGTGCCTGGGCTGTGCTTGTTGGTGCCTGGGCTATGCTTGTTGGTGCCTGGGCTATGCTTGTTGGAGCCTGGGCTATGCTTGTTGGTGCTTCGGCTATGCTTGTTGGTGCCTGGGCTGTGCTTGTTGGTGCCTGGGATGTGCTTGTTGGTGCCTGGGCTGTGCTTGTTGGTGCCTGGGCTGTGCTTGTTGGTGCCTGGGCTATGCTTGTTGGTGCCTGGGCTATGCTTGTTGGTGCCTGGGCTATGCTTGTTGGTGCCTGGGCTGTGCTTGTTGGTGCCTGGGCTATGCTTGTTGGTGCCTGGGCTATGCTTGTTGGAGCCTGGGCTATGCTCGTTGGTGCTTCGGCTATGCTTGTTGGTGCCTGGGCTGTGCTTGTTGGTGCCTGGGCTGTGCTTGTTGGTGCCTGGGCTATGCTTGTTGGTGCCTGGGCTGTGCTTGTTGGTGCCTGGGCTGTGCTTGTTGGTGCCTGGGCTGTGCTTGTTGGTGCCTGGGCTATGCTTGTTGGTGCCTGGGCTATGCTTGTTGGAGCCTGGGCTATGCTTGTTGGTGCTTCGGCTATGCTTGTTGGTGCCTGGGTTGTGCTTGTTGGTGCCTGGGATGTGCTTGTTGGTGCCTGGGCTGTGCTTGTTGGTGCCTGGGCTGTGCTTGTTGGTGCCTGGGCTATGCTTGTTGGTGCCTGGGCTATGCTTGTTGGTGCCTGGGCTATGCTTGTTGGTGCCTGGGCTGTGCTTGTTGGTGCCTGGGCTATGCTTGTTGGTGCCTGGGCTATGCTTGTTGGAGCCTGGGCTATGCTTGTTGGTGCTTCGGCTATGCTTGTTGGTGCCTGGGCTGTGCTTGTTGGTGCCTGGGCTGTGCTTGTTGGTGCCTGGGCTATGCTTGTTGGTGCCTGGGCTGTGCTTGTTGGTGCCTGGGCTATGCTTGTTGGAGCCTGGGCTATGCTTGTTGGAGCCTGGGCTATGCTTGTTGGTGCCTGGCTGTGCTTGTCGGTGCCTGGGCTATGCTTGTTGGTGCCTGGGCTGTGCTTGTTGGTGACTGGGCTATGCTTGTTGGAGCCTGGGCTATGCTTGTTGGTGCCTAGGCTGTGCTTTTTGGTGCCTGGGCTATGCTTGTTGGTGCCTGGGCTATGCTTGTTGGAGCCTGGGCTATGCTTTTTGTTGCCTGGGGGCTGTGCTTGTTGGTGCCTGGGCTGTGCTTGTTGGTGCCTGGGCTGTGCTTGTTGGTGCCTGGGCTGTGCTTGTTGGTGCGAGGGCAATGCTTTGTTCGTGAGAGGGCAGTATCATTGCGGGGTGTGGTGCTGGTATGCTTCCCATGGTTTCATACACGCCGCCATGAAACCATGTGAAAGGGAGTGTCTTGCTGCGCACACTGCATGTCATGGGAAGGCCATGCGAGTTGTCCCTTTGGAGCGCGCAAGCCTCGCAAGTATTGTCGCATGTGCCGTCATTTCCAGTCCAGTCTTACCCATCTCACCGGCGTGTGCATGTGCTGTGGGGCTCAGCCCTCACGATGCCAGCACGTGCGCCGAATGGAAAAATTTTGTTGGCGCCTCAAAACCCGGTCGTACCCACCTCATACCCCGTGTGCATGTGCTGCGGGGCCCAGCCCTCACGACGCCAGCACGTGCGCCGCACGGAAAGGCCATAGCAGTTCTCCCTTTGCAGAGTGGAAGAGTCGAGGCCCACCACACCCGCCTGTGCATGTGCTGAGAAACTGATTGGTACCACCTCCCTACCTTGTCCTTCTCTCTGCAGATCCAGGTGCTGCCAAGTGCAACTCCGAGCAACACGGGGGGGCTGCCGAGGCTGGAGCGTGTAGTGGTGGTGGTGGGGGCTTCCGCTTGCTGCAGTGGATATCACTAGCCTTGTGATCATGTGGGTGTTTACTCTATAAATTTGGGTGATTGTTGGAAGTGTATCCTTGTGTAGGTGGATTTTTGGGGCTTAATCTAATTGTAACTCACTGTATCTGATTTAAACCCTGATCTCATTGGAAGTCTAGTTCATCAATAGTATGTTTCTTTGAATTCTGTACTAGGTGCATCTGTTGAGCGGCTAAAACATTCATCATTGGTGGGTGGGATCCCACACTCGTACCAGAGGGAGGGATAATTGGCACTATAGGGGTGAATGGGGTAAGAGGAAGCCTCTATATTTGTCCACACAAATATTCTAGTAAATTCTGAGATTGGCCTTACAAGCGCAATGTCGGGCCAGTCAGCACCAGGGAGTGATGCTTTGAACGAGGGGACTGTTACTCTGAGGGGGCTGCTGCTTAGAATCTCTGCACACAAAGCTGATTCAGAGAAGGAATGGGAGTAAAGCAGTGGTGACAATTTGCCAGTGACAAATTCTCATGGAAGATTGGTGCTGCTGAAAAATCTAGGTGGATAAATCCTTTGGTGGTTCCCTAACACGCACTAGAGTGCACACACACACACACATGCGCACACACACACACATGCACATACACACACACACACACACACACACGCACACACACACGCATGCACGCATGCACACACACACACACACACCTACACACACACACACATACACACACACACACACATACACACACACACATACACACACACACACACACACACACACACACACACACACAAATAGAGAGTCAAACGTGTACGACGAGCACTGGAAAGAGTCTGGTAGTGATGGGAAAAGGGTTGTGCAAGATGAGAGCAAGGGTTGTGCAATCCTGGATTTTGCGTTAGTTGGTAATTTTGTATATTTGATATTATTTTGCTATGTATCTCAAAGCAAAGGCATGTCGTTCATATAATTCACTTCTTGTGGGGTCCCCCGCATCTCACGGCGATTCAATCAGTTTTTTGGGCATAAACCAGGAGAGTGAAGTATTTTTCTGGGTGATGTGCGCAAAGTGGCAGTTGCTGAAGGGTAGATGGTTCACGTAAAACTCAGACTGCACCGAAGAACTAACGGAATTCTGATCTGGAATGCTTTAGTCAAAGCCAGACTCTCAGTGGAGAGTTAGAGTTCGATGCTTCCTTGTAACCAGGATTCCTGGTCTTGAGTGAGGTCACTTCCCCGTAACTAGCGCTTCCTTTTCCAGTTCCCAGTTCCCACAACCACTACTGAAACTGGTAACGGGATCCCGTTTCTCATAGGTCTCAGCTCGGGCAGTCCGGGTGAAAGAGAAATGTGTAAGGCTGGTGAAACACCACGGCTTGTGAACGCGATCAATTTTGCATGACAGTTTGCGATTCAAGCAAACCGATTCGTATCCACATTTAACGCAATAGAAGCATGCGTAACACACCACACCCCCCAAGATCCAACTTCGTAGTCAAGCGACTCATTCAGATGAATTTGTTATAGTCACAATAGGCTTGAATGTACCTAAAACGAAAGATAGAGAGCACAGACGGATTTCTGCACAGCGGCTTCAAACGTTGATAGCGTTCTGCTCACAGCTGCAAATGACTTGATTCAAATTGGATCTGGAGCGTCTTCACGTCGTCTACAATTATCAATTTAGATTGCACGATTTGATAAAGAATTGACGACACAGCGTCGGTTTGAACGAACGGTACTATGGCAGCCACTATAGTCTTATAACACAAGATAGGAAGAGTTACGAGTTGGGAATGACTCCCAGCTCCTACAAACCCCAAGAGCCGAGGTACAGTGATGTGGAACAGTGACACACTGTCCCCAACCACGAAGGGTCTCGAAACTACCCTTCACTAGGGCCTACACCAAGTGAAATGTTACACTACACAAAGTAATGTAACTATCTTCAATATCTTGAGGTGTACCCTTTTGGCAAGCTTCGAAATCACTTGAGGCTTGACACCAAGGCTCGGGCTCTTCATCACAAACTCATCCTTGAGTTCTTGATGGGTCTGCTGCACACACCTGCGACACACCGAACGTTCGACACAGGACAAAATAGAAACCGCGCACGACAAAATAGAAACCGCGCGCGAGACACAAACGACCGCGTAACACGCGTCTAGCGATAACTCGCTATTGACTCGACACACACACTCGACATCATGACTCAACATTCACACACAATTATAAGCATGAAATATATATTATCCCATGCCCTCATACCATTCCATACACACACACATTCACGCACACGGACAACAAGCCGAGTGCAAACCGTAGGGTTGCACCAACAAACTCCCCCTCGGATTGTTGGCCTTAGGATATGTTGCTCTCTCAGTTCAGAGCCATCCCAGCCAGCTTGCAACACTTCCAATGCTGCTGCTCCACCAGCCTCTTGGTCATCATGTCAGCCGGCTGCCCCGTGGTCTTCACGTAGCGCAACTCAACTTCACCCGCGGTTACCATGCTCCTCGTCCAATGCCACTTCACCCTCATGTGCTTCGTGAGTCCATGCAACACAGGGTTCTTAGCAAGAGCAATGGCACCCTGGCTGTCACAGTACAGTGGGGTAGGTCCTTGCTGCTCCTCCCCCAATTCAGCCAACAAACGCCGCTGCCACACAATCTCCCGTACGGCACGGAAGAGTGCCATGTACTCGGACTCCACCGAGCTCAAAGCTTGGTCAACCTGCTTCTTGCTCTCCCAAGCAGTTGGGCCTCCACCAACACAGCATATGAAGCCTCCCACACTTGTCATGTCCTCTGGTTCTGATGCATATGAAGCATCCGAGTAGGCGGTGAGGAACAAACGCCCGGGTTCAACACCATCCGCGCCCTTTTGGCGCCTTTGTGCCGCCGCCGAGTATTGCAGCCCAACGGTCGGTGTTTGGCCAAGATACTTGGCCACCCTCATTCCAGCTGCTACCTGCTCCTCATTAGGGCATTTCACAACCCTAGCCAGCTGCCCGGTAGCAAACGCGACGTCCGGTCGGGTGTTTACCGCCGCATACATGAGGCTGCCCACCAACGAGTGAAATCGGCGCCTCTCCTCTTCACCAACGCTCTCCTCCTCTGGTCCCTTCACACACTTGAACCCAGAGGGAAAGGGTGTAGCCACATGGCCTTCACTCTGCCCAAAGTTGGCAGCCAATGCCTCCAGGTACTTTCGTTGATGCACCCGCATGCACCGCTTCTCCACATCTCGTTCGATGTGGAGCCCAAGGTAGAAGCTCACGTCACCAAGGGCCTTGCACTTGAACTTGTCTTGAAGCTTCAGCATCACCTCCTTCACAAGGTCAGAAGAGGGTGAGAAAATGAGGATGTCATCCACATAAACCACCATGAAACTCCTCTGCTCCCCCTCGCCAAGCATGAACAAGGAGTGATCGGCCGTTGAGGGAGTGAAGCCGATCCCCTCCAACACTTTGCGCAGCTTCATGTACCATTGCCTAGGGGCCTGCTTCAGCCCATAGAGGGCCTTCTTCAGCTTCCACACTCTGCCACTACCATCATCAAACCCCTCTGGCTGCGCCATAAAAATCTCCTCCTCAAGGATGCCGTTAAGGAATGCCGTTACGATGTCCATTTGCTTTACTACCCATCCTTTGATGGCGGCTCCCGCGAATAGGGTTCGCAGCGTCGTCGGCTTCACCACAGGGGCAAACAGCTCCTTGAAGTCCACCTTCTCCTTCTGCTGGTACCCCTTGGCTACAAGCCTAGACTTGTAGCGCTCGATCTTGCCGTCGGCATCCGACTTGATTTTGAAGAGCCACTTGGACGTTATCGCCGTACGCCCCTCCGGTAGCTCCTCCAATTCAAACGTGTCATTCTCCTCGATGCTCTTCAGCTCACTCTCCATGGCCTTCTTCCACTCCTCAGCATCACTACTCTCCAAAGCCTCCTTGAGAGTTGCTGGTTCTCCCGGCATCTCCACCGGAGAGAAGAACGCGAAGGCACACTCCTCGTAGTCACTCTCCTCGTCGTCTCCGACCATCATTGCCGCTCCGGCCAGGGCTGTCTTGCCCTGCTTTCCCGGCGCATCATAGGTCAGCCTATTAGGGGGTTGAACTCTCCTCTTCCCCCTTCCTTCCTCCTCAGCTGCAGGGACTTGAAGGCCTTGGCGTTGCTGCGGTGTGGCTCGAATCCGTGGAGCACTCGTAGTACGGGAAGGGAGTGACGGTGCACGCTCGCTCACTTGCTGCACCTCCTCCTCTTCTTCCTCTGCATCATTGGCCTCCTCTCTCCCATTCACAAGGGAGGATTGCCTTGTGGTTGTGCTGCCGCTGCTCAGCTCCAAAGGCAGCTCCACATGCTCCAAACCGGAACTCTTCACCTCCCCAAACCGCACGCCTATCTTCGCCTCATTCTCCGCCTTCCAATCCTTGTACATGAAGTTCTCCATGAACTTGCAGTCCCTGCTCACCAAGAACTTCTTGGTGAATGGGTCCCAAAGAAGCCATCCCTTGCTGTTTTGAGCCATGCCCAAGTGCACGGCCCACACCGCCTTGGCACCAAGCTTGTTGTGCCGAAGATGCTTAGGCACGAGCGCCATGCACATGCACCCGAACACCCGAAGCATATCCACCTTTGGCTTCCTTCCTAGCCACTCCACATAGGGCACCCATTTGTCTGCTCCCACATGAGTCAAGGCTCTGTTCTTGGCCACACACGCGCTCCGCACCGCATCAGGCCAGAAATAGTCGGGTAGCCCGGCTTCAATGAGCAACCCGCGTGCCGCCTCCGTGATTGTGCGGTTCGCTCGCTCGGCGATGCCGTTCATTGCAGGGGAGTATGGCATGGTGAGGGAGTGCCGAATACCATTCTTCTTCAGCC